ATGGATGGATGGATGGATGGATGGATGGATGGATGGATAGATGGATGTATAGATGGATGTATATATCTCTGCAGTACTTGCCTGGGCCTGCACCATCGTAAGCTAGGTTTTCGATCCTGATCGTCTGGTGATCGACGATGACGACGCCGGTGCTATCGACGCCGTGAGCGCCACGCAGCTGCGTCGGCAGAACCAGCGGGGTTGGCGTCACGATGTCATCTCCAAAATACATCTCACCAATGCTTGTCTAAACAATGAAGACATGGAGCCGTGTTTAGAAATCACCAATCGTGCCAGCACAATGCTATACTATGAAAATATAATAACACGTACTAAGTATAAATATAGTAGTAAATATGGTATAAATAGCAGTAATAAACATCCTTGAAATTGTTTATTACGTTTGGCGTATTACAGCGGGCACTGTCTTGGGATACTCTCCCATTTACCTGGATTATATTAAAATGTAAAACGTCATGCTCAGTGGGTTCTATAATCGAACGCATTTTGAGAAATCTTTTTTTCGGGAACGCCAACATTGCGTTTAATTAATCGCGGGTGGACATGAGCCGCTAACCGGCTGTCGTTAATGCGTCTATTCGATATCCCGGAATCAATGTCGAAGCGCTGATAGCAGTGGCTGTCGCTACTCGAGATGCGAATAGTAGGCCTACTCATTAGCGAGTGAGATCTAAAGGCTAAAAAAAAAAGCTAAACGCAGGCGCCAATACTCACATGTGTGCACGCACTCGCGCGCGGGCAGATACACGCGCGCGTGCTCGTACATGCATGCGTGCATGTGGACGCGGACATACACGCAAGCGTGTACGTACATACGTTGCGCACATAGACGCAATCGCGCACGCGTACATGTAAACGCACAAGCGCACGTATATATCTGGCGCGCGTGTACAGGCTGTAAGCATGTACGTGCACGAAATGTATTTGCATGCACGCATGTGCGAGCAAATGCACGGAGCACGGGTACGCGACTATGGCCAAATCTGATGAGCAACCCGGATGGTCCAGTGACCTCATGGCAACACGGCCACCCTGACCCCGTACTTCTGCACGAGTATGAGTCTTAAGGCCGCCGCACACCAGCCGATTTTTACAAACGATGAAGCGATGAAGCGATGAAGCGATGAAGCGATGAAGCGATGCAGCGATGAAGCGATGAAGCGATGAAGCGATGAAGCGATGAAGCCCTACGATAATTTCTGCAAGGTGAATGTCATGTGACACGGGCACGTTCAGCTATTGGCTGTTCAATATTTATCGCACATAAATATGTTTGATTTTGAACCGATTATTTGGACGCGATTTTGTGGTGTGCGCGTGACCTCAGGAAAATCGTGTGCGATAAATATTGAACAGCCAATAGCTGAACGTGCCCGTGTCACATGACATTCACCTTGCAGAAATTATCGTAGGTGTGCGCCGCACACCTACATCGCTTCATCGCTTCATCGCTTTATCGCTTCATCGCTTCATCGCTTCATCGTTTGTAAAAATCGGCTGGTGTGCGGCGGCCTGTAGCTTGCGCGCGAGCGAAACGAAACCGAAAAGCTACGCGGTACCTCGGGGGTTTATGTCTACAAAAAGTCGCGTAGCCTCCTTGCCTGACGCTTAGTGTTATTATTATAATACTTCTAGCTCTAGCTCTAGGTGACAGGGTGGGTCTGAGTGCAGGGGGCAGATTCAACCCCTTACCCGTCAAGGATAAAACAGTAACTCGTCGGAGAACGTTCTATCAATAAAATGCTGTCGCTCATCGTCCATAACGCTGCGCTAGTCGCAGTAACTTGCGAAAACAATCAGCAGGATGAATGGCTGATTTATCTGTTTACAGGGATAAATATAGCCCAAGCCTACAAATTCAACAACAAATCGGATCCCGTTGGGGTTCTATAGCCGTTGACCTCCTACTCGCAATGTGAGTTAACACTCCCTCCCATCTTCATGTCGGGGACTTTGGGCTCCCGTCGAAGCCACCCCGGATATAACACAGATGATATAGATGGTAAGAATGACACACAGATTGTAGCAAACACAGATAAGGCCAAACTAGAAGACTAGACTCTTGGGGCATCTATTTCTGATCTTGGGCACACTACACGCATGACAGAGCAGAGTGAGGCTGGGCTGTGAGGAGGAGTGGAGACTTACGCTTGTTGTAGCGCACCATATAGAGAGCCATGCGACGGTCTCTAAATCAAAGGAAACTTTCGCAGTGTAGCGTGCGTTGTCGGAGTTATCAAGCGTGATGACTCTGAATGCGAGAGAAATTAAAAAGCAACGTATAAACGAAATGTATGAACGAAAAAGCCTGCACGAAATTACAAACAATATACACTCCTGAACTTGCACACAGTTATAACCGATCTGCGCCCTGAAACTACGCAAAATGATAGACACTTGATTATACGCTGAACCTAGACATCAATTAAAACATCTCACACCTTAAACATACGCAGCATGACAATGTTTTACACCCTGAACCTGCGCAGCAATGAAAACACTTTGCACCCTGAACGTGCGAAGAGTTATAAAGACTTAAAATATTATATTAACCTTAAGAACGAACGTGGATTTATAAACACTGCTGCATTTTAAACGTACACGGAACTATAAAGTTTGTGTACATCTTCGACATAGAGGCACAAAGCATGATAAACGTTGTAGGTCCTACGCGCACTCATACTGATGAGTCTTAAACGAGTATAACGTACATGGGTTCAAAATTATGAACAACCTGACGGTACACCACACCGCAATATAAATACTCACGCGTGATCGCACGCACGCTCTGAGCACAAAAGCTCTCGGACACGAGCAAGAACAGGCGCGCGCACACACTCACAAACAAACGCACTATGCATATATACGTAGTTCTAGCATAATACGTCTATAACATACGTGCCTGTTGCGCTTATCTCTGGCCATCTTTCCCGCATCATTTGGAGTTTCTCCCGAAAGATCTCTCCGTCCCACCAAGAACACGACTCCTATTAAGAAAATGTATCCGTTATTGTGACATTTACCTATTATTTGTCAATTGTTAAATTGACCCACCTATTTATTATAAAAGTACGTTTTTCTGAGCATATACTGTTTCTTATTTCTTCAGAGTACTTCTCAGTGTATTTTCTCCTCATACGCGTTTGGTATAACAATGCGTATAATGCTATCAAATAATGTCTCAAAAATACCTGACACCCGCCGCTCACATCGCGTTCATTTGGTCATCGAATTATATGAAATCTCACTCATTTAAGAGTAAATTTGTTTTATGATAAATCCAAGTATTTGTCCCGATAGAAACGGTTTGTCTAACTGCTATGGATGGTTTATGATGAAATAAATTGTCGGAAAAATTCTCATGTTGCCATGAGAGGAAGCCTCAGGAACCCGAATAACTTATTCCAATATGTACACTGATCTGTTTATATCTCTATTCCAACAGATGAGTATTCCTCCTCAACAACGCGACCAACCCCAGTCCCTATATATATATACATAGGGTATTCGATGGAGGGAACTGTTAGTCCGTGTATCATTCGTCGCTTTTAGCGGTAGCATTTAATAATTGACAAAACAGTTTTTGCATAGTATAATATAGTATAGTATAGTATAGTATAGTATAGTATAGTATAGTATAGTATAGTATAGTATAGTATAGTATACTATACTATACTATACTATACTATACTAAGTATAGTATAGCATAGCATAGCATAGCATAGCATAGCATAGCATAGCATAGCATAGCATAGCATAGCATAGCATAGCATAGCATAGCATAGCATAGCATAGCATAGCATAGCATAGCATAGCATAGCATAGCATAGCATAGCATAGCATAGCATAGCATAGTATAGTATAGTATAGTATAGTATAGCATAGCATAGCATAGCATAGCATAGCATAGCATAGCATAGCATAGCATAGCATAGCATAGCATAGCATAGCATAGCATAGCATAGCATAGCATAGCATAGCATAGCATAGCATAGCATAGGGTTCAGTAGTGATGTCACGATCATCGGTTGAACAGTTGCTCGAACCAAGCGCTTGGTTATCAAAATCCATAATCAATTTCATCGAAATAAAAAATCGTTATCTTTTATTAACATACATGTATTATACACACAGTAGTAAACAGTGCAAAACAAACAGTAAACAGGGCTAAACAAGCACATGCATGCACACACGTAGATGCACACGACGTAACGCACACGCACACGCAGGCATTCAACACCCCGAGTAACCGATTGTAACCGATCATCGGTTACTTGGGACCAACCGATGATCGATTACGAAATTACAACCGATTGACAACACTAGGGTTCATATCTAAACAGAAACGGAAGCTAGATGGAGAAACTAGCAGATTATATTTGTTGGTCATGCCATCATGCCATCCTGCCATCAATCACATCGCGGTGGAGTCAGGGCTGTGAGAGACAGCCAGTCACCCCCTGTCTATGACGGTATGACCGCTCTCGTTTTTCCCAATTTTCCCATTATTCTGGGCTGGGCTGGGGGGGGGGGGGACCGCAGTATAGAACGATCTGTATGTCACGATCATTTGGAGACGACTCCACAGGCGGTGCTGGCGGAGCAGGATACAATCTCGGACTCGCAGAGAGAAGCTGAGATATCTGAA